TTAATGACTTAAATGTAAGATGAAAGACCATAATCCCAGCAATTTGGGAGGCCAAGGTGGGCAGATCACCTAAGGACAGGATTCCAAGACCAGCCCAGCCAACATGGTGAAATCCCGTCTCTACTAAAAATACAAAAAGTAGCTGGGTGTGGTTGTGGGTGCCTGTAATCTCAGCAGCTCAGGAGGCTGAGACAGGAGAATCACTTGAACCAAGGAGGTAGAAGTTTCAGTGAGCCAAGATCACACCACTGCACTCCAGCCTGGGCAACAGAGTAAGATTCCATCTAAAAAACAAAAAACTACTAAAAGAAATCAAGGGAAAACTCCACTAGCTTGGACAAAACCTATTTGGATATTATCCCAAAGGCCCAGGCAACACAAGCAAAAGTAGACAAATGAAATTATATCAAATTGAAAGTTTCTGCAAAGAAAAAAAAAAAACTCAACAAGTGAAAAGACAACCTATGGAATGTGAGAATATATTTGCACACATACATCTAATAAGGAATTAATATCCAAAATATATAAGAAACTCAAACAACTCAATGATAAGAAATCAAATAACCCAATTAAAAAATAGGCAAAGTATCTGAATAGACATTTCTAAGAATAAGACAAATCACCAAAAGCTATACAAAAAAAATGATTAGCATCAGCTAAATAAAAATTAAAACTAGAATGAGATATCACCTCACACCTCTTAGAATGACCATTAATGGTCTGGGCACGGTGGCTCATGCCTGTAATTCAGGCACTTTGGGAGGCCGAGGCAGGGAGATTACCTGAGGTCAGCAGTTCGAAACCAGCCTGGCCAATATGGCGAAATCTCATCTCTACTAAAAATACAAAAGTTAGCAGGGTTTGGTGGTGCACACTTGTAGTCACAGCTACTCTGGAGACTGAGGCAGGGGAATCCCTAGAACCCAGGAGGCAAAGGTTGCAGTGGGCCGAGATTCTGCCACTGCACTCCAGCCTGGGTGACAGAGTAAGACTGTGTCAAAAAAAAAAAAAAAAAAGTCCATTATCAGAAACATAAAAAATAACAAGGGTTAATGAGGATGTGGAGAAAAGAAAACATTTGCATGCAGTTGATGGGAATGTAAATTAATACAACCATTATGGAAAACAGTCTGGAAGTTCCTGAAAAAATTAAACATAGAATTCCCATGTTTCTGCAATCCCACTACCGTCCATGTATCCAAAGGAAGTGGAATCAGTACATGGAAGAGATATCTGCATTCCCATGTTTACAGCGGCATTACTCGTAACAGTCAAGATGTGGAATCAACTTTAATGCCCATCTGTGGGGGCATGGACAAAGAAAATGTGGTATACAATAAGAATGTAATGAAGTACTATACAACCTTTACAACAAAGAAGGAAGTCCTGTCATTTGTGACAATGTCAATAAACTTAGAGGACATTATGTCAAGGGAAACAATCCACACACAGAAAGACAAATGCCCCAAGATCTCATATGTGGAGTGCAAGAAGTGGAAACCAGAGAAACAGTAAAATGGTTGTCTCCTCCTGGGGAGGAGAGGGATTGAAGAGTTGTTGGTCAAAGGAAGCAAAATTTCAGTTAGAAGAAATCAGGTCAAGAGATCTATTGTATGTCTTGAGGACTCCAGTTAATCACAACATGTGGCGTATTGAACATTACTAAGAGATTAGATTTTAAGTGTTCTCACCACACACACAAAACATACAACAAGTATGTGAAAAAATAAATATGATAAAGAGGTTGTTTCATCCATTCCACAATGTGTACCTATATAAAAACATCACGATGTACACCACAAATACATTTCTCCTCATAGATTACAATTTTTTTTTTTTTTTAAGATGGAGTTTCACTCTTGTCGCCCAAGCTGGAGTGCAGTGGTGCAATCTCAGCTCACTGCAACCTCCTCCTCCCAGGTTCGAGCAGTTCTCCTGACTCAACCTCCCAAGTAGCTGGGACTACAGGTGCGTGCCACCATGCCAGGCTAATTTTGGTATTTTTATTAGAGACGGGGTTTCTCCGTGTTAGCCAGGCTGGTCTCGAACTCTTGATCTCAGGTGATCCAACCTCTTGGGCCTCCCAAAGTGCTGGGATTATGTGGGGAAAAGAAAGAAAGATCAGACTGTTACTGTGTCTATATAGAAAGAAGTAGACATAAGAGACTCCATTTTGTTCTGTATTTGAGATGCTGTTCATCTGTGACCCTACCCCCAACCTTGTCCTTGCAAGAGACATGTGCTGTGGTGACTCAAGGTTTAAAGGATTTTGGGCTGTGCAGGGTGTGCTTTGTTAAACAAGTGCCTGAAGGCAGCGTGCTGGTTAAAAGTCATCACCATTCTCTTAATCTCAAGTACCCAGGGACACACATGCTGCCAAAGGTCACAGGGACCTCTGCCTAGGAAGCTAGGTATTGTCCAAGGTTTCTCCCCATGTGATAGTCTGAAATATGGCCTCGTGGGATGGGAAAGACCTGATTGTCCCCCAGCCTGACACCCGTGAAGAGTCTGTGCTGAGGAGGACTAGTATAAGAGGGAAGAAGGCCTCTTGGCGGTTGTTGGCAGTTGAGACAGAGAAAAGCATCTGTCTCCTGCCCGTTCCCTGGGCAATGGAACATCTCGGTATAAAACCCGATTGTATGTTCTGTTTACTGAGAAAGGAGAAAACCGCCTTAGGGTGAAACGTGGTACTTGCTAGCGCAATGCTGCTCTTTATGCACTAAAAAGGTTTATGGAGATGTTTACATATGCATATCGAGGCACAGCACTTTTCCTTAAACTTATTCATGACACAGAGTTCTTTATTCATATGTCTTACTGCTGACCTTCTCCCTACAATGATCCTATTATCCTGCCACTTCCCTTTTTTCTAAGATGGTAAAGATAATTATCAATAAATACTGAGGGAACTCAGAGACCAGTGCCGGCGCGGGTCCTCTGTAAGCTGAGCGCCGGTCCCCTGGGCCCACTTTTTCTTTCTCTATACTGTGTCTCTGTGTTGTTTTGATTTAATTTAATTTAACTTAATTTAGGAGAGCTAAGTAATTAAACATGAGGCCAAAGTACGTAAGAAAGTGGCAGTCTTTTATTGCAAATATGCATACACTCTTGGGCGAAGTTCTCTGGTCCTCAGGTGTGGGGGGCCAGGGAAGTCGCGCCGGCGCTCTCGGGTGATGTTCTCCGGTCCACAAATGCGGGGGCCGAAGAAGTCACGCCGGCTCCTGCCGGCGGCGGACTTTTATGCCTGGGAGCTGGAAGGGGAGGAGTTTGGGGCGTGTGTGTAGGAGTGGCTTCTTGAATTTCAGTGTCCCCGGCTTGACGTCATTCTGCGCATCCTCAGTTGATTTGGTTCTTTTCCCGGGCGCGGGAAAATCTGTGATGAAGAACCCGGAAACAACAGGGACTGCTCCATCTTGTTTACCTTCCTCCATCTTGTCCCTTTTCCTTCACCCAAACATGTGTCTCATTTCTTTTCTCAAGTCTCTCATTCTACTTAACGAGAAACGCCCACAGGTGTGGAGAAGCAGCCCACCCCTTCGGGATTACAGGCGTGAGGACCAGGCCTGTACACTGACTTTCTACCCTTAAAGTGTGCTGAAGTTTGTTTCTCAGATGCAGGAGCCTTTGGGCAAAGACTATGGGGTTTCCAGGTATAGAAATTATATCATCTTCAAACAGAGATAATTTGACTACCTCTCTCTACTACTGTCTTCTGACTTGGATGCCTTATTATTCTTTCTTTTTCCTCATTGCTCTGTCTAGGACTTCAAGTACTATGTTGAATAGGATGGTGACAGTGGGCATTCTTGTCTTGTTTCACTTACGAAGGGAACTCCTTCCAGCTTTTACTCATTCAGTGTGATGTTGGTTGTGGGTTCGTCATAGGTGGCACTTATTATATTGAGGTATGTTTCTTCAATGCTTAGCTTGTTCACGGCTTTTAATACGAAGAAATGCTGAGTAAAAAGCATGCCCTACATGTATTGAGAAGATCATGTGGTTTTTGTCTCTAGTTTTGTTTAGGTGATGAATCACACGTATTGATTTGTGTATGTTCAACCAACCTTGCATCCTAAGAATAAAGTTGACTTGATCATGGTAGGTTAGCTTTCTGATGTGCTGCGGGATTCAGTTGGTTCGTATTTTCTGTGGATTTTTGCACCTGCGTTCATCAGGAATATTGGCCTATAGTTTTCTTTTTTTAATGTTCTTTTCTGTCATTAGTATCAGGGTGATGTCAGCCTTACAAAATGAGTAGAGGCCACCCTGGGAAAAACAGAGAGGCCATCGTTTTTTAAAAATTTGGAGTTTTACAAATTTACAATACATAGTGAAAAAGTTCTCACAAACTCTAGAAAGGCAGGTGTAAGTAAGAGACTTTTGCAAGACTGACAGCACAGTGAATGAGTAGATTTGAACCTTCAGTTACTGCAGTGTTCCGGTATCAAAGTTGGAGTATGTTATCACTCTGGTATTTTTTCTTCGAGTCAGAGAGAGAAAGAAAGACACACAAGCAATATAGAGAGCAGAAAAGCACAAAGCCAAAGAGAGAGAGAAAGAGAGACAGGAAACCGTGAGTTTAAAGTCTTGGGTGATAAGACAAACTCTAGATAAAACGACAAGATCCTCAATCGACATGTTGTGTTTTTGCTAATGAGATGGAAATCTATGATGCTAAATAACTGCACAGTCTTTCTACTGAGATTTAAATCATTTTATCTGTTTCTGGTTTAATAGTAGAAATACCAGCATGGGAAATTATGATGATTTATTTAATACAATTGCTCAATAATGATAAGAAGACCTATTAGGTATTTTGCATATTGCACATGAAGGGGAGTTTCAATTGCAGAGAAAAACAAACAAACAGAAAAAGATTATGACAAAAGTTCTTCGTGTGAGTGCACAGTTCCATCTTCCTGGGCTGGGGTAAGTGGGTCTGAGATGTGCTTTGAGTCTGGCCGTCATGCATGATGGGAAGTGACAAGTCTAGTCTGCAGTTTTCAGAGAGCCACATTCCTCCCTTGACCGGACTCCCACTAGAACCTCATATGACGTACAAGAAGCCTACCTGTGTCCCTTTCGCATGTTGTGGTCAATGTGTCAACTTCATGATCCAGGCTCCTCACCACATCCTCTGCACCGGTCAGTCGAGCGGAGTCACTGCGTCCTGGCAGCAGAAGTTGCACCAAGTCCATGTCGCTCACGGTCGTCATCCTGGCCTGTCTTGGTGAGTCCTGGAAGGGAAGGAGCACCAGGGTTACACTACGGGCCTGCAGATTCGGGGTCTCCCAACAGGGAGCCGTGTTCTGGAGCAAGCGGGTGGTGAGGCTGAGTGAACGTTCAGCCCAGCGAGGCGCCCAATGTCTCGGGAGGAAAGGGCAGGTTGGCGCAGACATGAATAGTTCATCATGATCTTTCTTTGCAGGGTTCTTCTTGGACCAGAGGGTGTGGGCACACGTGGGTGAGTCCTTCCCAAATGATAGGTTGCCATCCCCACCAATACAAGTGAATTTTCCTGAGAAGGGAGGCAGGCAGCCCAGAGCGCGACTGATGGACTGACCATGGGAAAGCCTAGGGGGAAATCTCTCGTGAACTAGGAAGAGGTGACCCTGGGATGCTCGGCCCTGAGTTCCATCTTATCCCTCCCCAGCTGTTCTTCCCTGTGGCTGAGTCTAGCTCTGTGTGGCCCAGGGGGAGACTTGGGCGCTCAAAGCTGGGGTGTCGGGGGAAGGGATATGGTGTCACTGGCAGAGGAGGGAAGGGAAGCAGCGCTAGGAACAGCAGGTCCTCTGAGGACAACAGGGTAAATCACTCCCTCCAGTGTTTCCATGATGGTCGGGGCTGCAGTGTGGCTGTTGTCATTCTACCAGAAGAGGTGGGGGAACCACAGTCATGACCCTGACATTCCAATCCCTCTGATGGGGCTCAGTTGTTCATTATGGTTCAGGCATTAGCTGATATTCCATTCACAAAGGTCGTACCCTCCGCCGCATGTCTACTTTGTGTTGTTTGGTGTAACTAATCTTGCAGTATTAAAATCTAGTAAGAGTTCCATACTCAGCACACGCTCAGAGTTTTCAGCCCATACTTTTGTTGTAGGGAGACGCCGTGTCCATGCTGGATAGGTTCTTCCTGTAGCCCTGGACACCCAGGTGTGGTAGGAGCCTTAGAAACATGGAAAGGGGAACAATCTTCTGAGCACACAGAGGGAGGGGCGGCTCCACATCCTTCTCTCTAAGGCGGCACCTCCTTCTCCCCCAGGTGATCAGGACAAGCCCTTCTGCTCTGCCTGGCCCAGCGCTGTGGTGCCTCAGGGAGGACACGTGACTCTTTGGTGTCACTATCGTCCTGGGTTTAACATCTTCACGCTGTACAAGGAAGATGGGGTGCCTGTCCCTGAGCTCTACAAAAGAATATTCTGGAACAGTTTCCTCATTAGCCCTGTGACTGCAGCACATGCAGGGACCTACAGATGTCGAGTTTTTCATCCGCACTCCCCCACTGAGTGGTCGGCACCCAGCAACCCCCTGGTGATCATGGTCACAGGTCAGAGGGCTCCTGTCTGGGCTTCTCCTTGTCCCACCTCCTGAATCCCAGAGCTTCTGCTGGGGGTGTCCGTCAGGGTCCCATCATCCAGGCCCTGACTGTATTTGGGGTAAAGGGGGATTTAACACAGGGGAATGGGTGCTGTGGTGGGAAGAATAACTGTCCCCATTGATGGCCACATTGTAATCCGTGGACCCTGTGACTCTGTATGTTATAGGGCAGGGGACTGAAGGGGAAGATGGAGCTCAGGTTGTTGATGAGTTGACCTTGAGATGGGGAGACGGCCTGGACTGTCCCGCTGGGCTCAGTGGAATCACAAGGGTCCTCATGACAGGAGGAGGAAGAGGGGAGTGGGGATTACAGCAGCATCATGGGAGACTCCATCAGCCCCTGTGGGCTTTGAAGGTGGAGGAAGGTCACGAGTCACAAAGGCAGGAGGCCTATAGGGGCTGGAGAAGTCAAGGGAACTGATTATCCCCTGAGTCTCCAGAGGGAACACAGCCCTGTAGATACCTTGATTTTAGCCCAGGAAGAACTGGATCCAATTTCTGTTCTCCAGAAGTGGAAGGGGTCAGTGTGTTCTCTCCTGCTGCCATGTTTGTGATAATTTTCTATAGCAGCAACAGGAAACCAACACAGGAACCCAGGTCAAGGACAACTTTAAAAGCCAAACAAGCGGGTTGGCTACCCCGAGATCAGCAACGGTGCACTGCTGATGCCACCACCAGGCTGGAGCCACATAGGGAGGGAACGACAGGGAGAGTCAGGGGTGGAGGGAGAGAGAGAGAGAGCATTAGGTCATAGAGCAGGGGAGTGAGTTCTCAGCTCAGGTGTGAGGGGAGCTGTGACAAGGAAGAACCTCCCTGAGGAAACTGCCTCTTCTCCTTCCAGGTCTATATGACAAACCTTCTCTCTCAGCCCAGCCGGGCCCCACGGTTCCCGCAGGAGAGAACGTGACCTTGTCCTGCAGTTCCCAGCGCTCCTTTGACATGTACCATCTATCCAGGGAGGGGGAGGCCCATGAACTTAGGCTCCCTGCAGTGCCGAGTGTCAATGGAACATTCCAGGCTGACTTCCCTCTGGGCCCTGCCACCCATGGAGGGAACTACAGATGCTTCGGCTCTCTCCGTGACTCTCCCTACGAGTGGTCAGACCCGAGTGACCCACTGCCCGTTTCTGTCACAGGTGAGGAAACCCCATGTCTGTCCCATGCCTTAGGATCCCAGAGCCATAGCTGGGGAGCTTCCTGCTGATGATGGAGGGAGGGATGGACAGATGCAGAGAGAAGGCGAAGCCTCGGTGTGAGGTTGGGTTCAGGGCACAGGATGGCAGACACAGCACATCAAACCCTCCCGCACTGCCTGCATGGAGGCCTGTGGTCAGGGCTTCAGGCACCCAGGCAGATGGAGAAACTGCTCAGGACAGACCCAGAGGAAGGGAGACTGGGCTCAGTTTGGGGAGATCAGAGGTTCCCTCAGCCCCTCAACCTTACCCATTTCCCAGAAGCCCATCCTGGCCTCTCACCCACACAGAGATAGCATCACTAGCAACCCTTACACCCTTTTCTTTTCATTTGAAAAAATGCTGATTGAGGTTAAATATACCTGTATAATTTACCAATGTTACCATTTTTAAGTGTAAAATCTAGGGGTCATAAATACCTATACAGGCCGGGTGCAGTGGCTCACACCTGTAATCTCAGCAATTTGAGAGGCCAAGGCAGGTAGATCATTCAAAATCAGGGGCTGGAGACCAGCCTGGCCAACATGGGGGAAACCCATCTTTACTAAAAAGATGAAAAAAAATTAACCAGGCATAGTACCACATGCCTGTAATCCCAGCTACTTGGGAGGCTGAGGCAGGAGAACCGCTTAAGCCCAGGAGGCAGAGGTTGCAGTGAGCCGAGATCATGCCACTGCACTGCAGCCTGGTGACACACAGAGACTCTGTCTCTAAATAGATAAATAAATAAATTTATATTCTTTTTTTTGTTACCCTCCATCCTTTCCTTCCTAACCTCTGGCATCTACCATTCTACTCCCTACCTTCATGAGCTTCACATTTTACATCCTGCAGGTTAGTGAGAAATGGCATTCCTTGTAATGACCTCCAGTTCCACCCATGTGGCTGCAAATGTCAGGATGTTATTGTCTCTCTGGATGAGTAGTCTCCACTGTGTGTATGTACTACATTCTCTCTATCCATTCACCCACTGATGGGCAGGTAGGTTGACTCCACATCTTGACTACTGTGAATGGTGCTAGAACAGTCATGGGAGTGCAGATGTCACTTTGATACACTGAAGTCCTTTCCTTTGCGTTTACACCCACTAGTGGAATTGCTAGATCCTCTGGAAGTTCTCTTTTTAGGTTTTGGTTTATGCTTTTTGTTTTTTTGACAAGAAGTTTCACTCTTGTTGCCCAGGCTGGGGTGTAATGGCACCATCTGGGCTCACTGCAACCTCTACCTCCAGGATTCAAGTGATTCTCCTGCCTCAGCCTCCTGAGTAGTTGGATTACTGGCACCTGCCACCACACCCGCCTAATTTTTGTATTTTTAGTAGATACGGGTTTTCACCGTGTTGGCCAGGCTGGTCTCGAACTCTTGGCATCAGTGATCCACCCACTTCAGCCTCCCAAGGTGCTGGGATTACAAGGGTGAGCTGCAGCACCCAGCCTCTTTTTATTTTTTGAGGAACTTCCATATTCTTCTCCTCTGTGAAAGTTGTACTAATTTATATTCCTGTCAACAGTGTATCAGGGTTCTCGTTTCTCCACCACCTTGTCAGCATTTGTTTTGTCTGTCTTTGAAATAAAAGCCATTGTAATGGGGTGCGATGATAGCTCATTGTGATTTCATTTGCATTTCTCTGATGATCAGTGATACTGAGCACTTTTCATACACGCAATGTTCATTTGTATGTTTTGTTCATTGAGAAATGTCTGTTCAGGTCTTTTACTAATTTTATAATTAAATTAGTAATTTTATTGAGGTGTTTGAGCTTCTTTTATATTCTAGTTCTTAATCCCCTCTCAGATGCATAGTTTGCAAATATTTGCTCCCATTCTATGGGTTGTCTCTTCTTCACTTTGTTGGTTGGTTCCTTTGCAGTGCAGAAGCTGCTTAGTTTGATATAATCCCAATGGTCTATGTTTTTGTGTTCTGATTACTTGTGTTTTTGAGGTTTAAACAAAATGTCTTCCCTCAGACAAATGTCCTGGAGCATTTCCCCAGTGTTTCCTTTTAGATGTTTAATGGGTTCAGGCCTTAAGTTGTTAACCCATTTTCATTTGATTTTTGTATATGGTGAGAGGTAGAGGTGCATTTTCATCCCTCTGCATGTAGCTATCCAGTTTTCCCTGCATCATTTATTGAAACCACTGTCCTTTCCAGATTGTAGATTCTTGGAACCTTTCTCAAAGTCCATTGGATGTAAATAGGTGGATTACGTCTGTGTTCTTCATTCTGCTCCACTGTTTTATGTGCTTTTCTTTATGCCAGTGTCATACTGTTTTGTTTACTACAGCTCTGTAACATATTTTTAAGTCAGGTAGTGTGATACTCCTGTTTTCTCCTTATACCTTAAAGTCTCAAGATAGTGGGCATCACGTACAATGATTATGGAGAAGGGGATGCCAGGACTCCCAGAGCCCAATATTAGATAACAGAATGTTGGCCAGGAACCAACCTCAAAGATGTCCTTTGAGTAGAACACAGGCATCCTTATTTCCACACCTCTCTCCTGTCCCATGTTCTAGGAAACCCTTCAAGTAGTTGGCCTTCACCCACTGAACCAAGCTTCAAAACTGGTAAGTGAAGGATCCCTCTTACCTCTGCTTTTGAAAACCCAGGGAGGTCGAAGCCTTGGATTCAAGCGTTGGCTCAGCACCTCCCAGCTCTGTGATTGTGGGCCTGTCTTCCTCTGTCTCTGAACCCCAGACACTCCAACAACGAAAGGGATCTGAGCCCAGCACAGAGCTCAGTGAAATCTCTTAACCTCTGATTTTCTGCTGCTGAGACCTCAGGGTAGAAGGTTGAGTGCAAATCAGACGTTGTTCTCGGGATAAATGTGGTGTTTGTTCTGCCTGCATTCCTAACCAAAGGACAAATGCCTGGGGGCTTGAAAGGGGGAAGGAAAGGGAACATTTTTGAGGGTGGGGTGCTTGTAGAGAAGTTCTACTTGCCAAGGAATGAGCTCCTGTCTGTCATGATCCAACCTTGGTTGACTTAGCAGAGCAAGAGCCTTGCAGTAAGAGAGAACGGAGTTCATCCACGCACATGACACTTCCACTTACTGGCTCAGCCACTGCTCCATGCTCAGGCTGTGCAGTGTGGACCCTTTTCCTATGTTGCCATAACAAATTTCCACAGGCTTCGTGGATGGAAGCCACATTTAAAAAAAATATCTCACGGTGCTGTAGCTCAGAATTATGAAATGCGTCATCTCACTGGGCTAAAATCAAGGTGACATCAAGGCTGCCTTCCCGCTGAAGGTTCCAGGCAAGAATCTTCTTCCTCACTTTTCCAAGCTCCTAGAGGCTCCCACATTCCTTGGTCTGGTCCCCATCTTCCTTCCTCAAAGCCCACAAAGGCTGGTCACATCTCTCACATGACATCAGACAGATCATTCTTCCTCACCACACCTCTTTCTCTGAATGTTGCTCTGCCTTCTTCCTCATCTTTTAAAGCCCTTGGGATTCTATTGGAATCTATGTTCATGGCATAAAACTTGCCCCCTCACCCAAATCCCCCACCTCACGCCTACTTCCTATCACATTAAGAGACACAGATAGACCGTGGGAAGGTAAAAACTAATATTCTTTGGAGTTCAGATCTTGGACTCAGAGACCAGCATCAGCACCATCTCCTGGTCACCTTTTATACGAATTCACAGAAGGACAGGTTGTACCAAGGCAATAGATGATGGAGGGGGTTGTCCTTCCTCCGGACTCTCAGGTAGAACAGCAGCCTAATATAGGACTCCCGAGATCACAAAAAGGAGCCCGCTCTTCACGAGCTTCATCATTATTTCCTGGCTGTTTGATATATTTCAGTTCTACTTCACTGTTTTGATCTTGATTTCACTTTATGCCTTTTCTTGCCGAAAATAATGTGTTTGAGTCAGGAGGGTTGTGGCTGTAGAAATTGTAAAGCACATTCACTGAGTATCAATCCCAGTCCAGTCTTCCCAGAGAAGACTCTAAACACCTCCTGTACTGCACCTGGGGCTATG